GCTCTCATAATATTTACCTAAATGGTACAAAATGTTTTTATATATTTTTGATCAAATATTTTTTCTTCCTACAAACACCCTAAATTAATATATTTTAAAATACAATCTAATTAATTAAATATTAATTATGTAATTAAACAAAAGGAAACAACTAAGAAAAATATCAGAAAATAAATAGAATGGTGGCTGATAAGCAAGACAGTAAAAGAGACATGAGGTAAGCCATTTCATATGAATTTTGTTCTTACACTTTACATGAGACAGTATTTGGGTCCTATTTGATTGAATAATAATAATAATAATAATAATAATTAATAATATCATAGTAATGAAATTTGGTAGTCAACAGAAGATGCATATGATATATAAAGTAATGTATTTTTTCCTAGTGTGATTGCAGTCAAATGACTTTGTAAGAGGACACAAACCCATTTATGCTATTTTAGGTTTTTATTGAGCGTAGCAAAATTAAAATTAATGATAAAGTTAGTAAAATTTTCATAATGTTCTACTTTTGCAAAGATATATATCGCACACTTAAAAAACAGGCATAAACATATTTTTGCTATTTTAAGTTTTTATGTTGAATTAAAATTGATGATAAAGTTAGCGAAGTTTCTATAATATTCTACCTTTGCGTATTCTCTATCATTATTTGAAACTTCTAAATTTAAATTTTTTCTCTCTCTTAAATATCGGCTTACGTCTAAAAAAAAACAAATTGCTATTGACTTTTTCATATGTATTTTTAAAAAAATAATAAAACAAAAGACTGAAGAAATATTGTTCTACTCCATAAAACTCCAACACCCTTATCCATGAACAATTTTTTTAAATGTCATTTTCAAATAATTAGCCTTGTCTGTTGTATCAACTTTTTTCTTTGTTTTTATTCCTATCAAAGTGATATAACTCACTCGATAAAAAAAAAAATTAAAAAAAGGATTACCTGTAAAATCAGCAATAAAGGAAAAGAATCCTGAAAATTATAAATTGTTTATCAGAAAAACAGTATAGTTGAATTTATAATAAAATTAAGAATATGCATCTTGATTTAAATATGTTTGTGATTTGTGAATATATAAATATTTATTTGTTTCGGTTTATTTGGCTCACATTATCCTTATTGAAGATCAACTTGACCAATTCTTAGTGAAATAAGGCCTACATTAATTAAACTATTCTATAAATTTCTTTGACTTCAAAGTATGTTATTTAAGTTTTGACCATGTGACCAAATCAATAATCTAATTAATAAGTAATAAAATGTTGTTCTGTTGTATATTTTTCTCATATGTTAAATATATTTTTTAAAGAAAATAATATGAACACTATATCAAAAATATTTTTTAGCGGCAATTAATTAATGATAATAGCTTAATTATTGCCAAATATGTTTCTTTAAAGATAATTATTGATAACAATTACATTTTTGCACTCTTTATAAATGTTACTAAAAACAGTAATATTAATAGAAAGTTTAACACTCTTTATTAATGAATATTTATACGTATATATATATATATATATATATACGCACGCGTTAGACAAATACGATTTGAAAGTAATATAAACTAAATGTCAATTAGGAACAGAAAGTAAAGCTTTAAAAGTAATTTTGGTCCTAAATTCATATTTACTAATGAACTATATATACTAATGAGTTATGAGCCAATATTATGACAAAAGACTGGTGATTAATTATTTGCATAAAATCTTGTGTGTATCATTCAAATCTACGAGTTCATCTGAAGTCAATAACGCATTTATATATAAATTTGCGTTATATTTTAATTTAAAATTATTATTAAAATTCATAAACGTGAAATTCTTGATAAGCCTTTGACCTAAAAGAATAAAGATTTCAATGTGAACAGGTGCTATAGTTTTACGCTGAAAGAATATGTCCATATAATACACTTTTTGGGAATAAAAAAAAAAGACTTGTCTACAAATACTCATTTACTCATTTGCAAGTTTTTCAAATCCATGGTCCATTATTGGGTGCTCAAAATATATATATAGATGTTTTATAGTTATTTTTTTTAATTATTATTTTTAAAAAATAGGAAATAATTTAAGATGGACTTTAATTGTATTATTCTTTCATTTTTCATTAATTGTTTATGAAATGTACGTGTATTTTGTTCATTCAATCGAAGGTCTATCATTTTTCATTGTTCGCATACATTATGTCCTCCTAGTTCAATTTCATCGATAGAATTACACTAAATTTATTATTATACGTGTTTTTAATATATAACACTCGAACCAAATTTTTTTTCTAAGTCTACAAATGCATAAAAGTGTGATTATTCCTCAAATGCAGCATGCATGTTCACATTAATTATCCTTATTTGTGAGATATATTATGATCTGCTTATTATTCAGAATATTCAAACATATATGAGATCAACTTGCTCTTTTTTTGATTAGTTAATTACAAGTAGAATTAAAGTAACTTAAAATTCAGCGTTTTAGATTAAGATAAGTTATCCATTAATTTCTGGTGATTATATAACACATCTTTTTTTTCTTATGCTTTTAACAACTTTAGAACATATAATAAAATAATAAAAAATTCGATCCAGAAGAACACGGTTTCAAAGACAAATTACAAGAAAGAAAAGGCCTTATAAAGCAATAAACTAACGAAGAAGAATTAAAGTAGAACCAAGTTTTTTTTTTTTTTGGAGCAATCGGTTGAAAGAAGTGTATTTTTTTAGCAAAACGACGTAATAAAAGATAAAACTGACTAATTTTGAATTGTTCAGGAATATATTTGATACTTTTACCTGTTATCTAAAGTATAAAATTAACTATTCAATATTTTGCAGATATGATTGAAATTTATAATATTTAGATTCTTCAAAGTTGGAATTCAATAGTGATAGAAATGATCATATGTGCTCCATAACTATTTGTGTCATCACCCTGCAAAGAGGTGGAACTACTAACCAAGAATGAACATTAACCCCATTTTGTAGACGGGTTGGGACCGACCTTCTATCCCAGTGAATGTTCCACTGATTAGGCGGGGAAAATATCAAAAGGAGTGTGTTTGAATGATCCTCTATAAGCAATGCATATTTGAGAATCCGATAAAGATGCTACAATATTTTAGAGAATCGGAACAATATAACTGAGAATTGAAATTACTATTTCTAGAAGTACACAATGGGAGCATGATTGATAACCTCTTAAGAAATTAAAAAGTAAAAAAGGTATGTACATAGAATAATTACGGAGGGATTAAAATGATTTTAGTAGAATGATGTACAAGTAATGCTTAGTTAAATGATTACGACTCCAACCTAATATGACTCAAGAAAATGATAGTATATTAGTACTCCCATTTTTATTTATCACAATTATTGAATAATACTTTACGATATTTTTTTTTCATTTGAAAAAAATTGCAATGTATTATACTTTTTATATAGTTTTAGAATATCTAAATTTTAATTTTAAACTATTGAATAAATCTTATCAAATTTTTAACTATAAAAGTTTAGTCAAATTAATTCTCAAAAAATGAAACGTAATTGACAACTACTTTGAAACAAAGGAAATAGTAGTTAGTTTAATTGTGAAGTATTTTATTTGGTCTGATGAATTCTTGAAAATGATATGTTTGAACTATGGAGTAATAAGGTATAACTATTGTGTCTATATAACAAAATAAGCTAATTAATAGTCAATAATTGAGAATATATATTAATGATGAGATCACCACTTCCATCACTAACCTAATTAAGCACCCTTAATGACCAATTAAATATAATAATTATGTAACAAAAGGAAACAATTGAGAAAATTTTAGGAAATAACTAGAAGGGTGCGCTAATTAAGTAATGAGTTAAGCAATTTCATATGAAGTTTAGTTGTGCTTTCACTTTCCATGACACATATATTTTGTGTTAGGTCCTATTTATGGAAGAATTTAAACATAATAATTACATAAGGGAGAAGTTAAATATTGAAAACATTTTTAAATTTAGTGCAAACTATTAGTTTTATGACAACTTTTAAAATACTAAATTACTTGACCATCTGAATTTAAATATACCCCTAATCTTGCCACATTGGTGAAATACATTCCTAAATTCTCGTCAAGTTTAGGGGTGTTTTCAACATTTCTCTCAGTTTTTATTAAGAGTTTCACACTCCTATAACAATTTGGGATCACTTGCTATGTCATATGGCAGACCGAGGGTGTCTTTAAGTTCAATTAGTTAAGTAGAAGAGTAATTTTAAGGTTGTCAATAATTCGGGGAAGAAACTAAGTAACTAACTATTCATGCTAAGTTCATGTGTTTTTTCAATACTTGCCTCTAATAATAATAAAGATATGACACTCTTTAGAAAGTCAAATATACTATATTGTTTTTGTCTGCTGACACACTTTTCTTTTTAATCAATTAAAAAAAAAATCATCTTTTTTATAATTGGCAATAATTTGGACCTAATTTATACTTATTATTTTTCATTTTACCCTAATGAAATAAGTATTTTAGACCACAATTTTCGAAAGATTATTTCTTTCTGAAACTTTATGTCAAGTCAAACAATATTATATATATCGAGACAGAGGAAGTAATAATAAAAAAAATCATTGGGGTAGATTTATATACCATGGTCTAGGTGTCAAATCGAACATTGTTACACACTTTTGGTTTCTTAAGCAACATAAAAACCATAGTGTAAAATTGGAATAATTCAAAACTTCTTGTTATTGAAGGAACGTGTGAATAATAGTAGTAAACACCTTTTGAATACTCAATTTTGCATCTATTATTGACTCCTAAAAGTCCAATACAATTTTGCGAGCTCTATAAATACCCCATTTAACACCCATCAAAACCCATCAAAAAAACATCAATCATATTACTTTACTCTTCATTTATTCATCCAAAAACTATATATTCAAATTTTTTTGATTATTTCGCTATCGCGATAACAAAATTTATCAATTATTTCTCAAAACATAAGACAAAATCATGCCAAGAAAAGGAATGAAAACTCTGAATTGGTTTTCTCCAAAACACAGTTCAGCAAGTGATATGAATTCTCCATCTACTTCACCATTCTCTTCTCCTTCCCGTTTTGCCTTTTCGCCATCCAGGCCGAGTTTTTCTGAAGCAGTGATTGATCGGACGATCGAGATGGCTGAGCAGATGATCACGAAATGGGATCCTGATACTACTACCTTCGCTAAGGTGACTTCTCTGTTCTATGAGAATCGAAAAGAAGCTAAGGATTTCATCAAATATGTGAATAATTTACATAAGGCGATGCATTTTCATGCTAGTGAGAATTCCAGATCCGATAAGCTTGTTCGTGCTCAATCATTGATGCAAATCGCGATGAAACGACTGCAGAAGGAGTTTTATCAGATTCTATCAATTAACAGAGCACTTTTGGATCCAGAATCTATATCCACTGTGTCTTCACGTACTTCGATAAGTACTCGATCGAGTACCTCTGAGTTCAACATTGAGGATGATGATATTGATAATCGTGTTGCAATTGCTGGTGAATCTATTTCTGAAGTTGAGGATATTTCTAATGTTGTAATGGCGGATTTGAGATTGATTGCAGAGTGTATGATTTCTTCTGGATATACGAAAGAGTGCTTGCAGATTTACAAAGTTATACGTAAATCGATTATCGATGAAGGGATTTATAGACTCGGTGTTGAGAAATTGAGTTCTTCGCAAGTTCATAAAATGGATTGGGAAGTTATGGATCTGAAGATTAATGATTGGCTTAATGCAGTGAATGTAGCTATGAAAACATTGTTCGACGGTGAGAGGATTCTCTGCGATCACGTTTTTGCTTCCAGTGATGCAATTAGAGAATCGTGTTTTACTGAAATTTCAAAAGATGGAGCTATGATTCTGTTTAGCTTCCCGGAAATTGTGGCGAAAAACAGTAAGAAGTCGCCGGAAAAAGTGTTCCGTATGCTCGATATGTACACTTCAATCGTCGAACACTGGACGGAGATTGAAACTACATTTTCCTTCGATTCAGAATCTGCTATCCGATCTCAAGCTATGACGTCTCTCGTTAAGCTTGGCGAGTCTATAAGGATGGCTTTGGCTGAATTTGAAACTGCTCTTCAAAAGGAATCGTCAAAGACGACGGTTGCCGGCGGTGGAATCCATCCTCTCACCATTGACGCAATGAATTACATCATTCTACTTGCCGATTACAGCTACGTACTCTCTGACATCCTCGGCGAGTCTCCTCCTCCGGCTAAAAGTTCATTGCCTGAATCATATTTCGGTATGGCTGATTCCGATGAGTCTCCAGCACCGGTAATCTCACTCCGATTTGCTTGGTTGATTCTCATTCTTCTCTGCAAACTCGACGGCAAAGCAAAGCACTACAAAGACGTTTCCCTCGCGTACCTCTTCTTAGCCAACAATCTCCGGTACATCGTCGTAAAAGTCCGTTCATCGAATCTCAAGTACTTGCTAGGTGAAAATTGGATATCAAAACAAGAGGGAAAAATCAAAAAGTTTGCCTCCAATTATGAACAGCTAGGATGGAGCCACGTCATCCAATCTCTCCCGCGAGATCCAAAAGCCTCGATCTCTCCACAACAAGTGAAAGAGATATTCAAGAGATTCAATTCATCATTCGAGCAAGCTCATCGGAAGCAATCTCTCTACGTCGTACCAAATAGTAAGCTCCGAGATGATTTGAAAGTATCGATTGCAAGGAAAATACTACCAGCTTATAGAGAGTTTTACAATATACATAGAGATACGATAGCAAAAGAGAGACATTCGAATCATGTGATCAAATATTCTCCGGAGGATTTAGCACATTATTTGTCCGATTTATTTTTCGGACCGATTGAATCGGGAAGTTCATCGTCAGTTGAGTCATCCCCATCACGTACAATACCATCACAATTGCAGTGAAGAAAAAAAAATAGAGTAATTGTTTATTCTTCTTTTGTTATCTCATGTGTAATTTATATGAATGATATATATGATTCATATAAAAAAGTGTACATTTGAATAAAAGGATTTTTGGTGTGCTTAAAACAGATGATATATAAGAATATTTCATTAAAAAAAAAAGTTTTTGCTTCTTGGTATAATTTTGATAGGTTAATATCCACCCTTAAACCAGAGCGGGTGGATCCAATACCATATTGGGTTAAAAATTAAATTTTACACTGTTACTTGTAATCTTTTTGTACTATCAAGTCATTTCTGCCCATTATAATAAATAATATATTTTATATTTAAAATTCAAAATCTAAATAAATTTACCTATTGATATATGTCATTTGAATGACTCAATGGTGTATAAAATGTAATTATCACATACATAATTCATCACAATTTTATTAGTGCACCAATCAATTGACAGTAAAATAAAGCTATAAAGAAGGAAAATTTTTAATCACCGTATTAATATTTTTTTCATTAGGACATCCATTTCATGTTCACTAAAAAGGAAGAAGTCCAATGAGATATAGGACCTAGTGTTTTAACAAGTAGCACTTGATCAACCATATTTTTTCTAAGTCTATAAATGCATGAAGTTATATATGATTTCCCTCAAATAATTGCATCTTGTATGTTCACATCATATATCCTTATCAAAGACTTTAGAGAAATATATATTACAATATAATGAATTGATCTGCTTTTTAAGAAAATTCAAATATATATTATTATCAACTTTCTTCTCTCTTTTTCTAAAGTTACAAGTAGCATTAAAATAGCATAAATAGAGGCAGAGTCAAGTATAATCGAGCAGGACATTCATTTGCATTTTTTATGATAAGAAAATTTCAATTATATATATATGATTAAAATTATTTTAATATATATTGATATTGAATCCATTTAACTTCGTCGTATATTTATTTGTTCATACTTTAAATTTTTAAATAAAAATTCTGATTTTACCGCTAATTAAATAAATCTTCATAGTTTAAGACTAGGGTATAACTTATCCATTAATTTGTGGAGATGACACATCTCTTTTCTTATGATACTTATAAGTCAACCAACTTTTCTGGAATGGAGATCAGATCAACACGGTTTCAAAGACAAGATCAAAAGAAATTAAAGGAGGGAATATAATATTACTCCTCCGTTTCAATTTGTTTTGTCCTATTTTCATTTAAAAAGAACACTGTTTTCCTTTTTTTTAGAGCTCTTTAATTTTAGCTTTTCACATAACATGTTTAAGATTACAACATTAAATTATAGGGAAAATGACGTAATTACACGATTTGAATTAATTACAAATATCCTCTTTTTCCTTCTCTTTCTTAACATCCGGATACATCACTTCACCTTGATACATTACAACTTTGTTTATATACAATATATCTGGTACACATGTTATTGTTGATACATAACCCCAATTATTTCAAACCTAAATCAGTTGGAATCTGATTTATAGTTATGTATCTGATACATAACTTATATATCTAATACATAAGGTATGTATCATTTCTATATATTGGACAAAGGAGCAATGTATCCAGAAAAAATCTGAGATTAATGTAATTTGGAAAACTTTCAAAATATGATGTAATTAGTGTTGGCAATTTAGGTCATTTTTCACTGACCCGCCCATTAAATATGGGTTGAGAGAGTAACTTTTAAATATAGAGAATATGGTTTATATCCATATTTAACCGATTAAAATATGGATATTTTATGGATAAACTACATGTCATATATGGGTATGAAGTGTTTTTGTATATTTCTGTGTTGAAAAGAAAGGAAATTGGTGTAATTGTATAATAGTTTATGTAAGTTGCTTTCTGATAATACTTGTCTCTTTTGTTACAATTTTTTTTTGTTTTTTACATTATACTTGTACTTTGCTAAGTGATTTTCTTTACTTTGGGGTCCATTTTAATCAACTAAAGCATGGAGAGCAGAGCAGATGCATTAACTATAGAGTAGAAACAGAGTTATGAAACTGTTTCAACTCATTTTCTCGGAGATGAGAGAACAATTGGAGAATTGATACTCTTCAAATGGGTATAACTAGTATTTTATTCAATTCATATTTTATCCATATTAAAATGAGCTGATTGAACTGTAACACATTTTTAGCCCGCCCAAATTTTACCTAATTCGTCCATTTACCATTACTAGATGTAATTAATATCCAAATTATTGGGGTTTGTGTACTTTATATGTCAAGAACAAATAAATTGCAATGAAGGGGTAAATAATAGTCCTAATGAACAAGAAGAAGGGAACAAATTAAATAACCAAAAAATAAATAAAAATAGAATGAAGGAATAAGTTGGTTAGCAACGAGATTTTCTCAAGAATAAATAGTTTCAACTACTTAAAAATGTGTTTATCGTAATGTTTTAATTATAAAGTTCTCAATGATATGAAACAGGAAAATACCAAGGGATATGTATTCTCGTAGAACATTTTTCTATTTTTTCATGTTTCGTTGGTCAAAATATTTTAGAAAACTTTCTACCTTTCAATCTTTCACCCTATATAGCTCTCATAATATTTACCTAAATGGTACAAAATGTTTTTATATATTTTTGATCAAATATTTTTTCTTCATACAAACACCCTAAATTAATATTTTTTAAAATACAATCTAATTAATTAAATATTAATTATGTAATTAAACAAAAGGAAACAACTAAGAAAATATCAGAAAATAAATAGAATGGTGGCTGATAAGCAAGACAGTAAAAGAGACATGAGGTAAGCCATTTCATATGAATTTTGTTCTTACACTTTACATGAGACAGTATTTGGGTCCTATTCAATTGAATAATAATAATAATAATATCATAGTAATGAAATTTGGTAGTCAACAGAAGATGCATGATATATAAAGCAATGTATTTGCATACCACGAAAATTTTAGTAACTTAATTAATTTATTACTATCTGAATTTTCGACTTATCGATTTTTCTATATAGTTTTTCCAAGTGTGATTGCAGTCAAATGACTTTGTAAGAGGACACAAACCCATTTATGCTATTTTAGGTTTTTATTGAGCGTAGTAAAATTAAAATTAATGATAAAGTCAGTAAAATTTTCATAATGTTCTACTTTTGCAAAGATATATATCGCACACTTAAAATACAGGCATAAACATATTTTTGCTATTCTTGGTTTTTGTGTTGAATTAAAATTGATGATAAAGTTAGCGAAATTTCTATAACATTCTACCTTTGCGTATTCTCTATCATTATTTGAAACTTCTAAATTTAAATTTTTTCTCTCTCTTAAATATCGGCTTACGTCTAAAAAAAAAAAAACAAATTGCTATTGACTTTTTCATATATATTTTTTTTTAAAATAATAAAATAAAAGACTGAAGAAATATTGTTGTACTCCATAAAACTCCAACACCCTTATCCATGAACAATTTTTTAAATGTCATTTTCAAATAATTAGCCTTGTCTGTTGTATCAACTTTTTTCTTTGTTTTTATTCCTATCAAAGTGATATAACTCACTCGATAAAAGAAAATTTTTAAAAAGGATTACCTGTAAAATCAGCAATAAAGGAAAAGAATCCTGAAAATTATAAATTGTTTATCAGAAAATCAGTATAGTTGAATTTATAATAAAATTAAGAATATGCATCTTGATTTAAATATGTTTGTGATTTGTGAATATATAAATATTTATTTGTTTCGGTTTATTTGGCTCACATTATCCTTATTGAAGATCAACTTGACCAATTCTTAGTGAAATAAGGCCTACATAAATTCAGTATCTAATTAAAATATAGAAATTCAGAAACCACAAAAAAAAATGGGAAAAAGAATAATACAATTAAAAATGTTAGTCAAATGTTTATTTAGTTTGAAAACATTATAGTATTAAATATCAACCTATATTATTAATTCACCAATTAAACCATTCTATAAATTTCTTTGACTTCAAAGTATGTTATTTAAGTTTTGACCATGTGACCAAATCAATATTCTAATTAATAAGTAATAAAATGTTGTTCTGTTGTATATTTTTCTCATATGTTAAAGATATTTTTTAAAGAAAATAATATGACACTATATCAAAAATATTTTTTAGCGGCAATTAATTAATGATAATAGCTTAATTATTGCCAAATATGTTTCATTAGAGACAATTATTGGTAACAATTACATTTTTGCACTCTTTATAAATGTCACTAAAAACAGTAATATTGATAGAAGTTTAACACTCTTTATTAATGAATATTTACACGTATATATATACGCACGCGTTAGACAGATACGATTTGAAAGTAATATAAACTAAATGTCAATTAGGAACAGAAAGTAAAGCTTTAAAAGTAACTTTGGTCCTAAATTCATACTTACTAATTAACTATATATACTAATGAGTTATGAGCCAATATTATGACAAAAGACTGGTGATTAATTATTTGCATAAAATCTTGTGTGCATCATTCGAATCTACGAGTTCATTTGAAGTCAATAACGCATTTATATATAAATTTGCGTTATATTTTAATTTAAAATTATTATAAAAAATTCATAAACGTGAAATTCTTGATAAGCCTTTGACCTAAAAGAATAAAGATTTCAATGTGAACAGGTGCTATAGTTTTACGCTGAAAGAATATGTCCATATAATACACTTTTTGGGAATAAAAAAAATAGACTTGTCTACAATACTCATTTACTCATTTGCAAGTTTTTCAAACCCATGGTCCATTTTTGGGTGCTCAAAATATATGTATAGATGTTTTATAGTTATTTTTTTTAATTATTATTTTTTTAAAATAGGAAATAATTTAAGATGGACTATAATTATATTATTCTTTCATTTTCATTAATTGTTTATGAAATATACGTGTTTTTTGTTCATTCAATCGAAGGTCTATCATTTTTCATTGTTCGCATACATTGTGTCCTCCTAGTTCAATTTTATCGATAGAATTACACTGAATTTATTATTATACGTGTTTTTAATAAATAACACTCGAACAAATTTTTTTTCTAAGTCTACAAAT